CGTCTCGAATAACCACTTTTGCCGTACATGCCGCGACGGGCTCAATTTGTTGGGCGCTCGCAGTGCTAAGAGAAACTACGGGAGAAAGCATCGTCACTTCACGAAGAGAGCGGCAGAGTCTTTGACTAATCACAGATATCTCGGCACCAGTATCAATGAGTGCAAGTGTTCGTACACCTTCGACGATTACATCGATAAGATTGGCGGGAGACAGGCGAGGACTTAAACGATTAGACGACGACGCAGCTCGTGCCTCCGGAGCTGCGGCAGTTAGTTTTCCGTCTCAATGGAGGTGGGTCGTCGACGCATAGGCGACACGGAACGACGACTTGGTGAAGGGGAAGGCAAGCGGGAAGTAGAACGTCGAGAAGCGGAGGTTCAGGTGCCGGAAGCAGCTTGCGCATCGCGTTCGTGAACTTCAGGTGGCACGTGAGGCGCCTGGTATGAAGGTCGAAACGAATAGTCAGGGTATCTTGGTGTATTAGCTGCGAAGCGCCAATGACATAGACGCGCAACGTGACCTGGAATCCCGCAAAAGTAACATATCGGCCCGTTGTCAACAGTGCGCCAAGGATTTCCAGCGTGCTGCTGTGTAGCTGGAAACGGCGCGGTGAAATGTTGCACAGGTTGTGGCGTATACAATGGCAGACGAGGCGGAGGCATTGCCGCGACGGCCGCATAAGTCAGTGGCGCGGCAACAGGTGTTGATGGAGAGGCAGGCGTAGGTAATGGCAACGCCTCGGAGACCTGCTGTCCTGAATAGCCTGTCTGATTGTCGGCGTTAGACAGTTCGTTGGTGCTTCGATAGTCTGCAGATACGAGAGACACGAAAGCTGTCGTGCGACCTCTTCACGTACATATTCTTTTATCTGCTCCAGCAGGGTGCTGTCACCACCGACGGCCAGGGAAGCGAGAGAGTCATCTGCTGTCGTTGACCTCCGAACTAATGCACGTTGCTTGCGAATCACTTCCAAGTTCTGGCACAAGGTCACAAGTTCAGATACGGTACTTGGGCCCTTTGCCAGCAACATTTGAAAGGCATCATCGTCTAATCCTTTCGAGATATGCCTGATCTTGTCTTGTTCGGTCATCTCAGGGTTAAAGTGCCGGCATAAATGGATAACATCTTCAATGTAGCTACTGAAGTTTTCGCCCTGCCTTTGCGCTCGTCCGCGTAGGCGCTGTTCAGCACACAGCTTGCGCACTGCGGGGCGTTCGAATACAGCTGCAAGGGTGGTCTTGAAAGCGGCCCAAGTGGTAAATTCAGTGCGGTGGTTTGTGAACCACAGGCTGGCGACGTCTTTGAGATAAAATGGGACGTACTCCGATTTCGAGGAGGTCGTCCCACTTGTTGGCGGCGCTCACCTTTTCAAATAGCTGCAACCAGTCTTCCACATCTTGGTCCTCGGTGCCGCTGAAGAAGGGGGGATCCCGTTGGCACAGGGTGGTAGGTACGATGACCAGTTGAGATTGGGCCGTGCTCTGCAGGGGGGTGCCTTGCTCGGTCGTCTGATCAGGTATTGCTGATGCAGTGGGCAGCTTCCGGCTTCGAAGCTCCAGGTTTGCGTACCCAGCACACTTCCACCACTTTGCAAAGGAGTTTAATAGCGACGCCAGGTAGCAGGCAGGCAGCCGGTACGGACAGAAATGCTCGAGCAGTCCAGCGTCTACAGCTCGTGCACACACTCGCGCTTCGCACTCCGAGAGAGATGGTCCCACTAGTCAGTGCCTTGCGAATTCCCCACTACAATATTAACACAGTATTCTGAGAGGGAAGCAGAACAGGAAAAGACAAAAAGGATGAAGAGATAAAGTGCCAGTTCATGATGACGGTAATTTCCTATCTACAACACACGGCACAGCTCGGATGTAAAATGTCAAGTCATCCAAAATGCTGTCACAGGGTCGCGATGCCAGCCAAAGCAGCAGGTTGGTGTGTCCAAGATGAAGCTATTTATTCGGCCGAACTTGTGGCCAGGTAATTGAAAGTCAAATTACAGCAATGTGGGCTGTACACTGATGTTGGCGGGCAGAGCGTCGACCGTCGATGTACTGCGAAGTGATGAAGCACGTTGGCATTTATGCATTTGCCAGTTCATGATGACGGTAATTTCCTATCTACAACACACGGCACAGCTTGGATGTAAAATGTCAAGTCATCCAAAATGCTGTCACAGGGTCGTGATGCCAGCCAAAGCAGCAGGTTGGTGTGTCCAAGATGAAGCTATTTATTCGGCCGAACTTGTGGCCAGGTAATTGAAAGTCAAATTACAGCAATGTGGGCTGTACACTGATGTTGGCGGGCAGAGCGTCGACCGTCGATGTACTAGCACGTTGGCATTTATGCATTTGCAATAGAAAATTTCAACATTATAGCTAGTGGCCGCGCAAGTTCCCGAACAAACTGTGGTGTTCGCATTGTGCACGTAATGCTATTGAAAATTTCTGAGATTATCAAGATGGTTACCAGTCATTCGGGCATGGTTTGCGCAAGCAAGAGTAACGTGTAATGAGGCAGTAATATGAAAGTGGAAAGAAAGGTGCACGTATGGCAATGCACACGTGGGGAGCTTATTCTTTGTAAGCTACATGTAGTGCTTATCAGTTTATCTTTTGAGTAATAAATGTAGGTGGGTAAATAGTTCACCCGTCAGCGAGAAGAAGCACTGCAGTGGAGGGAGGAGAGTTTTAAGCTTCACAGACAAAGAAAAACTTGATATTGCAGTTTTTTTGTGCACAGCTCGAAACAAACAAATAAGCCCCAAACATCACATGCAAAGGTAAGACATCTTGTCACTTGCCCCATTGGGCAAGTGACAAGATGCCCCACTGGGCAAGTGACAAGATGCCCCACTGGGCAAGTGACAAGATGTCTTACGTGTCATGTCACTCATGTCACTTGTCACGTCACATCATGTCACTTGTCCCAGTGATGACTTGGCGGGAGCAGACGGCGGCGGAGGTGCTGCGTGGTTGCGGTGACTACCGTATTTATACGAATATAGGTCGACCCTTTTTTTCCGCAAATGTTGTTCATAACCAGCTATCGACCTATATTCGTGACCAAGAAATCTAGACCTATATTCATTATCAAACCAACGAAAAGCGCCGAGCTTATGGCGTTCAACTGCCGCGCCCGCTGTTCTTCAAGCGGTTCCTGCTGCATAGTACGTCATATACCATGAAATCTGGAATAACCCCCCCCTCCTTTCTGACTACCTAAGTAATTGAGCAAAAAGTTATTTATGCAATAGCCCTGTACCACCTTTTCAAAGCTCCCACGAAATGCAGCAGCTCCGCCATGTTTATAATGAAAACCACGATTTCCCTAGGTATAGGCCGTGAAGTCCCTAGCCCACTAGCGGTGCTTCCGGCGCGCAGCCGCGCTGTCACTGGCCTGAGCATAGAGTTAATATGGGCTTGAGGCCTCGCCGCCTCGCCCTTTGTTCATTGTACGATCGAAGTGACAGTTCGCATTAGCTTTAGGCGCGGCGCCATGCTCCCTACGGGGCTGCAGAAATTAGGCGCCCTCTTTTTCTAACCACCTCTACCATTTGCTTGTGTGCAGTTGCGACGGTGTCTCGTCGGCAGAGCTACACAGGTTACTAGTGCGAAGTGATACTTTTTGCCAAGGACTCGAGCAATTGTGCTGCGCAGCGGGAGTTCTGTGTATATGAGAAGTTGATTAGAGGTAGGCGAAAGCAATGGGACCATTTGTTTGCGTGCAACGAACAGCGTCATGCTTTTCGCGGCCCAGCAATCTGCAGCAATGACAGTGAGAACGACGTCGTTTGGGAAGGCGTCGATGCTTGCAAAGAATAGGATGACGAGGACATTTTGCACATCTGACCAGGTGATGGCCCCGGCAGCGATTAGAAGGCAAAGTCATCTAAATATAGGTGTGCTATGTTTCAATTTTTTAACTTTTTTTCTAAATTAAAAAAAACGTGGACCGATGTATATTCCAATATTTTTTTTTTCTCGCAGAACAATATAATTAGGGGTCTACCTATATTCGTGCCCAACCTATTTTCGAGTAAATACGGAAGTAGCACCAATGCAGTGACAAAATGGCCCCACCAGCAGAGAGAAAAGCCAACACACGTGGGGGCTACAGTTTTGTTCACCATACAGGTCGTGGGCCCAGTAGGCCATGGGTAATAACAAGGTGCTGAAAATTAAGTACTACTGAGGATGTTTTCGGTGAGCCATCCCATCTGGTGTGTAGCTGGCACAGCAGTTCTCCAAGAAAAGCTATTTTTTTGCTGACATAAAATTGTTCACTACCTACTGCATGTCATACAGCAATACTTGGCTCACATGTTCACAGGGGCCTTGATTCTCAGACTACGTAAAAAATAACACTGCAGAGCAACTTTGACAACAATGTCATTATTCTGAGGTGGCACATTTCGGATTTATACATTCCAGCTTGAGTACAAAGAAGCGCTATATCAGAAGGGATATGGTTTGGGTGTATTGGTTCATCATCACTAAGTGGAATACATAAAGCAGAAATGAATGCAAGACAAGGGGACAGGACTTGTGCCGACACCTTCTTGCCCTGTGTTCATTCCTACGCTACATATTCCGCTCATCTAATTCAACCACAAACCTTGCACGTTTTTTTTTTCAAATATTGCACTCTTCCAAACGACAAAAATTACAGATATTTCCTTAGATTCCCCAGAAAAAAATCATTTAATGAAATGGAGGGCTAGTTGGTTGGTCAGCGCAGACCGGGTGAAAAGATGACAAGTGTGTGACGTTTTGTCCTCCTTTCAGCTGGTGTGCACCATCATAATCTCTTAGTAACTTTACATGACAATTGCAGTAGCTCTTTCAAGTTTTCCAAAAAACCCTTCCACAGATGATTATTACCAAACGTGGCAGAGGCAAAGTAGCAGCCAATTTATTAATGTTTTTGTCCGCTACAAATAGGACTGAATGCAGCAAACAGCCACTGCTATCATGTTGAGAAAGCATTTACAGCAACCCACCTTTCCTTTGCTGTAGTCCCATAACTTTAGTGTGCTGAAAAAAAGAAATGAAGTTTTATTCCAACCATCAATGCTAAAGTGCTGGGTATACAGAAAAATCATTATTTAGCCCAGCTGAAATGCCCTTCAAGTAAATGCTTGCCCTTTCTTGGCAAGAGTACATTAAGTGCCCGTTAATAGTGATTCATTACATATTGCTTGCATAAAAGTGGAGTTTGACATATCAAACCAATAACTTCATTACAAGGCCAGGTGGCAAATCTCTAGATTTCAACCCTATCACAATCTATTCGCTATGGCCCTATCCTGTGACGGTGCCACAGCCACTTCAGTCATCACTATACTGTGGCAGCTCTCAAGAAGGGGGGGGGGGGGGGGAGGAATGTGGCTTTCCGTACCAACTTATTTCTTGATGCGACTTTGATGAAAATTTGTGCACTTATTAGAAATGCTTTTTTCAATGCTACCATACAAAATTCATGAATATACAAATTCATGAATATACCTTTACAGCTTTCTGATGCCCAGTATATTTCTCTTTCTTATCTTGTGCCTAGTCCGACTCGCTTGAAAATAATGATAGAAAACTCGTTCAAAGCACTATGCATTTAAGATGACTGATGGAGGGTGTGACATTTATAGATTTTTTTTTTCATTTGCAACATAATTTTTTTTAGTTTCCATTTTTTATGAAGTGACTGAGCAAAAGGCATAGAGGTTGTGTGGAACTCGTCAAGAAAGGGAGCGAAAAGAGGACGGCAGGAGGGTTAACCAAAATTTGTTATCTATATGCTACCCTGCAATGGGGCCACTTGTAAAGTAACTAGTTATCAAACAGCCATACTGAAAAAGCAAGAGTGTGACACCTTGGATTGCACTACAAAAAATAAAGAACAAAATGCAGAAATGTACCAGACCCAGTTGCTGCTAATAAATCAGTAGGACAAGCAAACATGAAGCAAAAAAAATTATTTTGAGAAAATGGCTTCCGAAGTTGTACCAATGCTCTCGATCCTTGATAAATGAAAACAGACATAACAAATTATTTGTTATAAAGAAATAAATGAAGGATAGTCTTCTTATAAATACAGTAATAATAATAAACATTTATAATAAATTTTTGGATGTAACAGTTTCTTTGCAGATGTAACTATTTTGATGAGGTTTGAGTGTGTTTTCATCAAAAAACACCAGAGTCGTAATCTTTTGAGTTCTTTGCAGGGTGCAGTTTCTTTAATGCCCTGCCTTTTGTTTGATGCATCTCGATTTTCTAAAACACAAGAGATTTTGACCTTCAGTTGTGTTTAATGATGATACTGGACCTCTAGCACATGTGGCTGATCATCAGTTGTGCCTTTATTATATGTTTTTTTAGTGACCCTATTTACAGTAACAACTTGGCCTCTTTTGTTGACATGATAGGTACTTATTTGAAACTTCCGACTATGTTAAGCACATGGAAAGTGCGAAAAATTATTTTCTTGACATGGGATTATTTCAAAACAAAGAAAAATGTAACGCATTTCAACACTCACTTGTCTAGGGTGGCTGCCAGGATGTATTTGCCATTTGGTGAGAACTTGACAAAGGACACAGGTGGGTTGTCGTCATCTGCAAGCACATTTTGTGCACAACTGATACTCAAAGACCTAAAAAGACTCACATATAGTAAACTTCTGAGTAGAAAACAATGAATATTGCCAAATGCACTTTGTGCGAAATCCTTTTTCAACCATGCAACTCAAAGGTAGTGTTAAAGAAAGGGACACTAAAGTCAATTAACAATTTACGTCAGAGCGAAAGCTCAATGTATGACATTTGAAACGACAATGTTATTAACAACAGTGCCCTACTTACTGAGAAATTAAGGTAAATACACAAGAACACAAGCGCCGCAGTAGGACATTTTCAAAAGGATCCTGATTACATCAGACGAACGGCCTACGACCTTCCCCTCCTCGCTGCCGCGAGATAAGGATGCCTGAGGGAGCGTCGCTCCCCTTCTCTAAGCTGGGCAAAGTATGCGTAGAAAATTAGAGCGGGCGCCCCTGCGCGATGTGGCGACACGCGCTCATTGCGCCATCTTGCTGGTAATGCAGAAAACACAATCCCCCCCCCCCACCCGAGATGCTCGTGAGCAGCAGTAAGTGGTAGATATAAGTAGCTTGCCGTTTGAACGGTGAAGGGTGTGGTCCGGGGTGGCTCAGTGATTAATGCCTCGGTTTCACAATACAGAGGTCCCACGTTCGATTCTGCGCGCGGGTTTTTTTTTTTTTTGATCGTTTTCTTTTTTGCATTTATATATATATTGATACTGTAGAGAAGCCACCGAACACTGAAATGGGTCGAACTCTCAAGTGCTTTCTAGTGGGTCTACGCAAAAAGAACGCCGCTCGCGCGGAGAGTCCGTGCTTGGCCGTTACTGTCGCCATTGGGTATACTTGCTCTGTGCCGGCTAATAAACGCCATAACAAATTGGTGGAGAGTGCTTCGATCCCCTTCGATGCCCTTGGGACTACGGCCCCGTACCCTGCAATCTACCATGTCCCACGACGCCTTTCAGCAAACGCCTCCTCCCATGCCACCCCCTTGTCCCGGTGTCCCCAGGATCCGCGACCAACCCATCTTCTGGCACTGATGTGGAGGACTGGCTCGCCATTTACGAGCGCGTGAGCGTTCCCAACAAATGGGACGATGACGGCAAGTTGACAAACTTAGTGTTCTACCTTGCAGGCGTTGCCAGTTTGTGGTACACCAACCACACGTCCGAGTTCGCAACCTGGTCCGATTTCAAGACCGCTATCACCAATGTTTTTGGCCGCCCTGCCGTTCGTAAGCTGCAAGCCGAGCAGCGCTTACGCGAACGCGCTCAGCAGGCCGTTGAATCATTCACCAGTTACATTGAAGATGTCCTGGACCTGTGCAAGAAATCCAACGACAGCATGTCCGAATCAGACAAGATCCGGAACGTCATGAAGGGCATTGACGATGATGCCTTCATGATGCTGCTTGCCAAAAACCCAGGCACAGTAGCTGAGGTCATCACGCTGTGCCAGAGCTACAAGGAGCTCCGCCGGCAGCGTTCGATGACCCATCGCTCCACACCACGAGATGCAGGGTTTGCTGGCTTGGAGACGAGATCTGATCAGGTGGCACTGCTGGCAGACCTCAAGTCCTTCATACGTGAGGAAATCGCACGCCAGCTCTCTCTCCTTCCCTTTGCCCACCCACCGGCTGTTCAACAATCGGCAACTACCATTCTTCCACCCATCCGCTGAGTGATTGAGCAGGAAATAGCGGAGGTCATGCCTGCGTACCACCCACAACAACTTCCGGCCCCTGCGCCCCCAAGTTACGCCCAAGTGGTCGCAAGGCCGCCTCCAGTCGTTCAAGCGCCTGCACCACTGACTTACGCCGAAGCTGCCGCACGACCTCCGTCCTTTGCAGTGGGTACGCCGGCTGCGTATGTTGGCGCAACCCCTCAGCCTCATTTTCAGCCCACCATGCAGCCTTTCCAGCCACCGTTCTGGGCAAGACCCACCCCGGCCAACCGATGGCGCACACCCGACAAACGGCCCATCTGCTTTGCTTGCGGTTATGCCGGTCACGTAGCCCGTTATTGCTCTCGACTACAGCCGGTTCCCATTTCTTCTCCTGTTGCTGGCCACCTTAGCCGTTCGTATAACGACGAACTGCCGTCTGTGCCACTGTCGTCTCGCCCAGGTCCGTCTGCTCGAAGGTCGCCGTCTCCACGACGTCGGTCTCTGTCCCCCATGCGGCCAAGTTCGGCTGCTCATGAGCAGGAAAACTAGTCGTCGCAGTCCCAGAGGCAAGGATTGTGACGCTATCACATTGTGAAAGTCCTCAGAGCCGCGCATCTAATGTCACTGACGTGCTTGTGGACGGTGTTCATGCATCTGCTCTTATTGACACTGGAGCTGCGGTATCAGTTATGAGCGAAAACCTTTGCCGCTTGCTTCGAAAAGTGACGACGCCGATTTCTGGATTGTCCCTTCGTACCGCTAGCTCACATCGTATTCATCCTACAGGAGGCTGTACAGCTCGCGTTGTCGTTCAGGACGTTCTGTATGTCGCCCAAATCATCATCATTTCTGCATGCTCTCATGACGTCATCCTCGGATGGGATTTTCTCTCCCGCAACGACGCCGTCATTCATTGTGCCGCCGCCGAAATTGAACTCTCGCCCTTCTCGCATTTGACGCCAGAAGACGGTCCCTCGACACTGAGCAAGATTCTCGTGAAAGACGATACCATAGTGCCTCCAAGCTCAACGATGGGTGTATCGGTCTACTGCACCGGTCTCTCCGACACAATTGCACTCGTTTCGCCATCCGACCGTGCTTCCAGAAAGAAAGAGTTGCTAGTACCTTTTGCGACCGTGCAAATCACCCAGGGCAACGCCGCTATTTTCGTGACCAACCCATCTCCGTACACTGTTACCTTGGTTCGAGGGGAATGTCTCGGCAGAGTGGAACCAGTCAACGACGCACAAGTCCTGGACGTACCCGAAGACTCGCGTTGTCCCGATTCGCGTACCATCAGTGCTGTTTCTAATTCTGACCCATCATCTCCTGATGTATTTGGCCCATACATTGATAACAACCTTACGTCAGTACAGCGTTCCCAGCTTCTAGACCTGTTGCAAGAATACCGTTCTTCTTTCCATGTCGGGCGAAGTTCTCTCGGTCGCGCGTCCGCTGTTACGCATCATATCGACACTGCTGCCCATCCACCATTACCGCAACGTCCATACCGCATGTCGCCTGCTGAACGCTGGGAAATTAACGAGCAGGTAGACGATATGCTCCGACGTGACATCATTCGGCCCTCGGATAGTCCATGGGCGTCTCCTGTTGTTCTTGTTGCGAAGAAAGATGGTTCTGTGCGGTTCTGTGTGGACTACAGACGACTCAATAAGATCACTCGTAAGGATGTCTACCCACTGCCGCGCATCGACGACCCAATTGACAGCCTTCACGGAGCCCAACTTTTTTCTTCTCTCGATCTGCACTCGGGGTACTGGCAAGTACCCCTGGCTGATGACGCTCGACCAAAGACTGCCTTCATCATACCCGACGGCTTGTACGAATTCAACGTCATGCCATTTGGTCTGTGTAATGCACCTGCGACATTTGAGCGCATGATGGACACCGTTCTGCGCAACTTGAAATGGCACACGTGCTTGTGCTACCTCGATAACGTTGTTGTCTTCGCTCCAGATTTCTTTACGCATCTCCAACGTCTAAAAGAAGTTTTCGCACGTGTGAGCAATGCTGGCTTGCAACTAAGTCTAAAGAAGTGCCGCTTTGCAGCAGGCCAACTCACCATCCTAGGGTACGTCGTGTCCAAGGATGGCATTCTTCCTGATCCAGCCAAGCGTCGGGTCGTGGCCGAATTCCCAAAACCTGCGTCCGTCAAAGAACTGCGCAGTTTCGTGGGCCTGTGCTCATACTCCCGACGCTTCATACGAAACTTTGCCACGATTATATCACCGCTGACGAAGCTCCTTGGAAGTAACGGGCCCCTCAATTCGTGGTCGTCAGAGTGCGACAACGCGTTCTTCAAGCCCCGCCATTTGTTGACATCTCCTCCCATTCTCCGCCATTACTGACCCTACGGCCCCAACGGAGATGCACACGGACGCCAGTGGTGTAGGCCTCGGCGCTGTCCTGGCGCAGCGCAAACCCGGGTTCCCTGAATATGTCGTGGCATATGCGAGCCGTACGCTCACGAGAGCCGAGACAAACTACACCGTCACGGAAAAAGAGTGCCTGGCAATCGTCTGGGCCCTTACAAAGTTTCGACCTTATTTGTATGGTCGCCCATTCGATGTCGTCACCGACCATCGTGCACTATGCTGGCTGTCATCATTGAAGGATCCCTCAGGCCGCCTCGCCCGTTGGGCTCTTCGCTTACAAGACTACGACATCCGCGTGCTCTACCGCAATGGACGCCAGCATGCTGACGCCGACGCCCTCTCGCGCTCCCCTCTGCCAGAAGCTGACGTGCTCTGCTCAGTATCCTCGGTTGCTGTTCCTGCGATTGATGTTGACATCATCACTACCAAACAGCGAAAGGATAATTGGATCGCCCAACTGATCGACTTGCTCTCTGATCCGTCCGCAACGCCATCCACGCGTGCCTTGCGTCGTCGAGCTCACCATTTCGCCATTCATGACGGTCTCCTACACCGACGCAATTACGACGCCGATGGCCGGCAGTGGCTGCTCGTGATACCCCGCAGTCTGCGGTCGGAGATATGTGAATCCTTTCATTCTGATCCACAGTGCGCGCACTCTGGGGTATTAAAAACCTACCATCGCATTAGACAACGCTACTTCTGGCGCGGGATGTACCGCTACGTCCAGCAGTTCGTTTGCTCCTGTCTCGCTTGCCAACGCCGCAAACCGTCCGCACACATGTCACCAGCCGGTCTGCAACCGTTACCTTGCCCTGACCGTCCGTTTGGGCGCATAGGTATCGATTTGTATGGACCACTCCCTCTGAAGTCCACTGGCAACCGCTGGGCCATCGTCGCCGTAGATCATTTAACGCGATACGCCGAAACCGCCGCTCTATCTGCGGCTACT